GATATCATCACTTGCCTAAGGAATAAAGAAAAACATCTTCTCAAGTAGGCCTACTGTACAGTGCACTTAAAACTTGCAAGGTAACGGACAGTTTAGTTATTGCTTCTCTTGGCTTATTTTTGTTACAGTTAGATTTAGTTGAGAAATTCAGATCATCACAGTATTTGTTCGGGGTAATAAAATAAATAACACATGGGTTTGTGGGTAACAGTAAAAATATCATCCCTCGTATAAATACTGTTACACTCGGCTACGCCTCGGGTAACAGTATTTTCCTCGGGATGATATTTTTACTGTTACCCACAAACCCATGTGTTATTTATATAATATTTACTGCTGTTCAGTGATAAGCATCCTCCAGCATGGTCTATATCCATTACCTATACATTACAAAACATACGTTTATCCTTGCGTAGGAAAAAAAATGTATTCATATATGAGGATTAATGAACCTTTAAATTGTTTACAAAATATGGGACAATATTTAGATTTATTCTATACAGAAGTTGAAACAGATTTTGTTCCGATATATATGTTCTATTATTTTTTTTCTTTAGCGACAGTATGTGCGGAATAGAACATCCAAATTCGAAAATTGACTGCGAAAATAGTCTCGGCTTAAAAATAGTGTTTGTGAACTCACTTTCTATCTTGTTTCAATGAAAAGTGTATTGATTTATGACGCATGATGTGCCTTTTAAATAACTATTAAGCATAAAATAAATAGAAACTTTGTTTTACATGTAAGATATTTTTTGTCAGGTGTTATTATTAACTCGTTGCTACACAACTTGTGTTTTCTGTATGAAACAACTTCGAAATTACATGCAAAAAAAAACAAACAAACATATCAGTTTTATTATATACTTTATGTTCGTCAAAAACAATTTTAAACTAAAATTTCACGGATAAATATTTGTGCATGTGTCCTGTGTAATGTGAAACTAAAATCATACTACGTAAATTAAGATTTCAGACGTTTTACAGAGGTGACAAAGAGGGCTACACTTACATTTTTAAACGATAAGTGAACTGTGACAATTTTTAAGGCCACTTTTTAAAAATTCTATACCCTCATCGTTCATAAAAGACGTACTTTGGATTTACAACTTGTGATATTATATACAATAATTACATCATAACATAAAAACGATAGAAATAAAAAATATAATATCTTTTAAATACACATTATTTTCTTCTTATAGTTTCTTTTTAACCTGAATTGTGATTAATTACAATTAACAAAGTTTTGCTTTTTTATCAGGTCCTAGGACAATTGTTCTGCCTTCGCTTATTGGGGCAGAATCTTTCACAATGGGGAATATCTAGATATAAAAATATAAGAAAGTTTTATCCACTTTTCCAGCTTTTATTTAATTTGTAAACACATATACTTATTAATCAGGCAGAATGATCTAATATAAACAGAATATTAAATTCTAACATATTAATGAAAGTTAGTTTTACATTCATTTACTTGAACAAATAGATAATATTCAAATATTAAGTAACATCTTGTTACCTGAAGTTTTTAACAAAGTTATTAACATAATTATATTTTTTTCAAGTATTCAAAATAAGAACAGCTTAGTGTTCTTAACTAAATTTTAGTTGTTTAACATCAAACATTTACAAAATGTACATAGAATAAAATACAACTTACCTAGATATAAAAATATAAGAAAGTTTAATCCACTTTTCCAGCTTTTATTTAATTTGTTAACACATATATTTTAATCAGGCAGAATGATACTGCCAGCTGGAAAAGGGATCTTTTAAGGGGTTCTCTCACTGTCCATTGGTTTAACTTAGTTGACCAATAATTAAACATTATTTCTGGAGAGGCGGAACTACAAGTTCTGGCTTAATTCTGAAAATACTTGAGAAATAACTTACATATTTTCTAATCACTATTTGTAAATTTAGTTGTCTATGTTTTTAAAAGAATAAAGTTTATCACAGATGTTAATATAACAAGCATTTTGCAATTCTTTGTCTAGTGTAAAAGGTTTTTAGCACATTGGCTTCTCTGTAACAACATGTCACCTGTTTGAGACATTCTAATTGACCACATAAATGTACTTGAGATTTAACAAAGAAAAAAAGGTATAATTTAGTTTTATCATTTATAAATTTATGCCTAATTTTGAAATCAGAAAATACAAAATAAAATTTAAAATGAAATTCAATACAAATATTTCACTCACTTATGTAATATACACAATATAAAATATAACAAGAAAATAGCTAATTTTTCATAGCATGACACGACCTCCCCCCTGAAATTACTTTATTCCTATAAAGTGTAAAAGTTTGTTTGTCGGACAGTGAGAGTTCTAGGTAAGTAACGACAAAATATACAAATATAAACATGACTGCAAAAACACAAAAATTGTGAAACGTACTAATAATGTATACAATAATGTTGTAATATAAGATAGAAAGATTAAAACCAAAATAATTCCATATTGGAAATAAGTATTATCTTTTACCCTGTTATCAACATCATGTAATACAAAGTTAGTGAAAAATATATATGTACATGTATCATACAGACTTTATAAATCAGTATTACAATAAAACTCTTCAAACAAAATATACAATAAAACTTTTCTATTTTGCAGAATATTTAGGTGCTGTATCTTTAGTTCATATCAAGCAAATGGTTTGATAAAGGTATAAGAAGTTGACCATGTTGAAATAAAAGTAAAAATATTATTTAAACTGAAAATCACCAAGGATACAATTTAGAGTTGTTATTAATGTAAGAACTTAGTAAAATTTGCTCACAATTTAAAATGACTACATTATAATTTAGTCGTTGCAACTCAGCAGACAAATTTCCAGATACCATAGTAGTACAGAGTGCCATAAGGATCACCATAAGCATCATGTTTGCCCATTTAACTAAAACAAAACAAAATGGATGCAAGTCAGTCATTGTTGCAAAATTGACGTCTCAGTTTTGCAACCAAGCACTTTGATCAGGAAACAGGAATGATAGAGAAGAATAGTTTAAGAGGACAGAACAACATTCATATACTTACATACAAGATCATACACTCATCATTTATAATAATCAAACCTGAACCTTAAAATTTGACTTTCTTACATTAAATGTCTGTTTGGCATATATCAATAAGTTAGGACAATGCCAAAATAAAGCAATATATATTACTTCGTGATCTTATTAAAATATTTAAGCAATTATAAGCAACAATGTCTACCTGCCTTATAATAAATTAATGCACAATGCATAGAATATTATATTATGACAAAAAGTATCTGTGAGTTTATAACAACAAACTAAAATAATTAAACGTCTATCTATAAAATTAATCATTTTTATTTTGCTATTTCTTAATAGCATATATATTTTAGTTACTTTACTTTCACTACATTTGTGTAATATGTTATAATAGTTCATTAAAATCATATGTGTACAAATCATTTTCTTTTTTTTCTTTTTTTTAATGTTTATGCTGTATCAAAATTCTTATATTTCGTCTGTCTTTTCCTAGTTTTTCCAGTTAACTTATGTTTGAAATTATCTGAACTGATTTTTGTATTTGTCTATCGATTAATTATGCCTATAAATTGTCCAGATTTGTTTGTGGTGTCCGTAGATTATCCAACCATATCCTAGAATTACCGTCACGATGCCATGCGAGTGTGGCCATGGCTTTTTCATCTTTCTGCCCAGTACTTTAACAAAATTGGTCAAACCTTTTCAAATATGATACAATGTCTTGGTGTTCATTGCCATAAAATTGATCCAGCTTAAACACTCCAGCCATTGTTGATGTATGGAAAATTTGTTGAGGATCTTGGTTTTGTTCAATCTGTTGTTGTTCTTCGTTTTCTTCAATAGCCTGTTGATGTTCGCTTGGCTGCTGGATTTGGTCTGGCACTGACCGTAGATTATAGTTTGACGGTCTAGAAGTCAGTACCATTCCTTTTCTCGCTTGGATTATGTGAGAGGTGGAACCTTTCCGCTACCCACCACGTGTTCTGCCTTCGCTTATTGGGGCAGAATCTTTCACAATGGGGAATATCTAGATATAAAAATATAAGAAAGTTTTATCCACTTTTCCAGCTTTTATTTAATTTGTAAACACATATACTTATTAATCAGGCAGAATGATCTAATATAAACAGAATATTAAATTCTAACATATTAATGAAAGTTAGTTTTACATTCATTTACTTGAACAAATAGATAATATTCAAATATTAAGTAACATCTTGTTACCTGAAGTTTTTAACAAAGTTATTAACATAATTATATTTTTTTCAAGTATTCAAAATAAGAACAGCTTAGTGTTCTTAACTAAATTTTAGTTGTTTAACATCAAACATTTACAAAATGTACATAGAATAAAATACAACTTACCTAGATATAAAAATATAAGAAAGTTTAATCCACTTTTCCAGCTTTTATTTAATTTGTTAACACATATAGTTTAATCAGGCAGAATGATACTGCCAGCTGGAAAAGGGATCTTTTAAGGGGTTCTCTCACTGTCCATTGGTTTAACTTAGTTGACCAATAATTAAACATTATTTCTGGAGAGGCGGAACTACAAGTTCTGGCTTAATTCTGAAAATACTTGAGAAATAACTTACATATTTTCTAATCACTATTTGTAAATTTAGTTGTCTATGTTTTTAAAAGAATAAAGTTTATCACAGATGTTAATATAACAAGCATTTTGCAATTCTTTGTCTAGTGTAAAAGGTTTTTAGCACATTGGCTTCTCTGTAACAACATGTCACCTGTTTGAGACATTCTAATTGACCACATAAATGTACTTGAGATTTAACAAAGAAAAAAAGGTATAATTTAGTTTTATCATTTATAAATTTATGCCTAATTTTGAAATCAGAAAATACAAAATAAAATTTAAAATGAAATTCAATACAAATATTTCACTCACTTATTTAATATACACAATATAAAATATAACAAGAAAATAGCTAATTTTTCATAGCATGACACGATGATCAAAGTTAATGGAAGTATGATTACGGAGGAAAATCAACTCTTAGAGAAAAAGAAACCGTTGGTTGCTTTAAATCTTAATGAAATTCTTGAAGTGAAACTTATAAACCCTCTAACACCGAAGTATGCACTTACGATTAATACACCATATCGTATTGAAAATGAACACCCGTGTTTGACATATAAAGATTTTAAAGTTTTATCAACAGACAATTTTAAAAGGAGAAATGCAATCAGAGAAACATGGGGAAATTCAAGTTTTTATTCAAGTTATGGAACAGCCAAAGTGATGTTTCTCTTAGGAAGACCAATTAATAGTTATGTACAGAATAATATTCAGAAGGAGTTTGAGCTTAATAGAGATGTACTTCAAGGTGATTTCATAGATACCTATCATAACTTGTCTCACAAAACTGTAATGGGCTTCAAATGGTTGACAGAACGTTGTAGAAATGCTAAATATATAATAAAAACGGACGATGATATTGTGCTGAATATGTGAATATATGTGCATATATATTTTTCTAATTAATTTGGTAAAATTTCCTGATTTTTTAATTATGTACACAGTATGCGTGGAAATCCACCATTTTGTGTAACTGGTATTATTTGTGTATATCATTGATTCATGTATACATTTTGTGTATAATTGGTCTTATTCCAAAACATGGAATTTTCATGCTACGGACATCTTGTCGTATAAGAGGCTACCTATGGGGTATTAGCTAGTAAAACAAATAATTTCTTAAACATTTAGATTGTATACTTCTAGCACAAATATTTTATTTCAAAATCTTCTATGAGTAACATGGTTTTTGATTGTAAAGTAGCAATTAAGTAATTTTACAATGTTGGACTTAAAAGCTGATGCAAGGGCGATACAATCACGTCATTGATATTTTTGCCTTATTTATGAAATTGATGTTAACTTGGATTGAAAACCGCCAAAGCCGGTGCAATGGGGCATGAGAGAAGTTGCACTTCTCATTATCTCAAATGAACAGACAACCGAGTCTGCGTTTTTGGACTATATGCGCAGCCTATTTACAGATTTTTATTGACAGGGGATGCTACTCTAGGAAACGCATAAAGTAATAGTTTGCATGGTTGATTCCCTTCAATGTGAAAAACATATACACGCTAATAGACCTTTTTACAACACGATTCTTCCATAGCAACCAATGTTGCATTTCGCGCATGCGCATTTTGCGTAGGGAAAAAGCGCAATAAAATTGACAACAGTGTATGATACTAAAAGGCTTTAATAGTCGTGATTCCATGTTACCTACCGGCTCTTTTGTTAAAAGCGGTCTAGTAAATCACTTACCGACCGCTTAAATATACCGACCTGTTTTTGTTCTATTGTTCTCTATACAATAGAAAATATGTGAAGTCGAGAAACTCGTGCATTTCAGTACACAATATTAACCGTAAAATAACGCTGAATTATGTGTGTGTGTGTGTGTGTGTGTGTGTAGGGGGGGGGGTGGTAATGACCACTTTGAATAGAAAAAAGGGTCGATATATATTTTAAAGATTAATAGAAGTAAATGAGCGCATACGGCTGTAAGAACCCTCATAACATATATTCCAGATTATTTGTGAGAAAAACGAACTGGCTACTGTTCTGGCGTTGAAGTTTGTGTTTCGCCGATATTAATGAGTACAACAACGCACATTTGGCCTTTTTTATAGTTTGCTTTTCGGTATACCTAACACATTTGCCGAACTATATAGCTTCATAAGATACTAGTTTTCGACATTTATTTCCACAACTATGTCTGAATTTGCACAATCCTGCATTATTTAACAATTCCGCATTATAGGATATATACGACGATTATATTATTGGTGCATATCGAATCAAAGTCAACTTCTGCATCTTTCTTTCCAAAAATACTTTCAGTAAGAGTATAGTTCATCTTAAGTATAAGACCGTTTTTCCCATTTTTTCCCAGTTATTTTTACATTTTGTATACCAGTACTCGTCTGTACTCGCCTGTTCTTCGCAAGAATACGACTTGCGCTTCCATTCTAGACCGCGTGTTTGCATGCGGTCTTAAGAACGGATGATGCTAATTAAGAAGACACCGAAAGAAAATTCTTCCATACATGGATGAAATTCTAAGAACATTTAAAATCAGCCATCATAAAAAAACAACAACAACAAAACCCAACTTACATGACGGTGTAACTACATGTATTACTAATATTTATTCATAGAACCCCGTCTTTTACTTTCCATTGAAAAAATCGTATATTTTAATTATATAAGAAATAGCCCGATCATCTATTTACCATGGAATTTATTATATATAAAGATAAAGTGTTTTGTTTTTATGATAAGAAAACATTTTTATCTTCCTCAATATTTGTTTATACGAGTATTATTAATATGTTATGTATATTCATATATCAAAATATTGATATTACCTTTTCCCTACTCGACAAGTTCTGTTTTCATTTTCTGTGACTCAACTCAACAAGTACATTACCTGACCTTATTACATAATGAAACCCCAAGAAAATCACGAGAATATTCAAATAATACCTGATTTGTGAACGAATGAATTAAAGAGCGTAGCGGATGGTATCTTTGCTTGGCTTTGGAATGCTTTCTTAAACATGATAAAGTACATAAATAATATGTTTCTTGTGAGTAATTTTAATAAATACTGAGTTAAAAACTGATGTATTGATAGAAAGACAAAAGAGCATGTAGGTAAGATAGTTACCGCACTCAGAATAGGTCTGCATAGTATGTACAGACCCGGCAGCCTTTTAAAAATCTCAATCGCTACGCTCTCTCGGTCTTCAAATCGCCACCCGGGTCTGTAAATACTATGCAGACCTATTCCTCGTACGGTTACTATTACTTATATCAACCAGAAAACAGTAATTTTGGGATGACTTAAAGCGGTAAGTACTTAAAACGTCAATTGATATTTATAACAGATATAATAAATATGCAGGACTAATAATCCAATGGTCAAAAGGCGCATACAAAAGTCGTCTGTTTAAGGTATCATTAGACGACTTTTTCATCCGTAATTTAAATTTAAACGGCAGGGTGTTAAAGAATAAATTTTATTATCCCTGTATTACATAATATTACACAATATGTACTTCCTTTAGATTGGCCAGGCGGTAAGTGTCAAACAGATTGACTCGCGACCGTGGTTGTTTGTTTCCAGCTAGATTTGGTATAAATATCATTCAACCGGGACGTTTTAGAACCATGACATAGTTAATCACGTACAATTATGAAAATCGTAATTTAAGTAATTTATATATATACCAATCTCATCAATGTCTATTGATGTGTGAAGTGACAATTAGTGAACACGTCTGCGAATGTTTCAAAATTCTAAATTTTACCAGTTCATGGTAAATGTTGAATTCTGCTTAAACCAGTGCTAGGGGGCGTGGACGGTAGTTTGCACTTGACATTACCGTCCATAAACAGGCTCAATCAAACCGAGTCTGCAACATTTTCAATTTTGCCGCGTTGGGCTTTCTTTAGGTATTCTTATTTCACTCTATTGCATTAAAAAATATTATAATGTGTTAAGAGGAACCAGATAAAATGAGTGTTATTTCACTTTCCTTAAAGATTTAAAAAAAAGATAAACTATTTAAAATATGTTTATGTGACTTAAAAATTATCTGTTTTGCATCACAGTCAAATAAAGGATAAAATCAGGTAAACTGAACACTCAAAATGCATTATCAGCGGGCCTGTTCTGACTATTTTCAGAATGCTAATTAACCTCGATTTCATATGTTATAAAATTTCTTTTTATCTTTTTTATGAACTATTTCAACAACAATTTAGTTGACTCCCATTTGAATAAAATATATAATTCCACATTTTCTTAAAAAAATCTCAATGTTAGATCCGTGACCGTAAGCGGGCCCACCGTAAGGGGGAATTCTTAAACAATTTCCTTTTCCGTGCCTTTTTATGGCAATCTTGGCAACAAAGCTATAAAGGAATCTTTTCTATTTTTGTTAAAAGCTATTTTATATAATTTTCTACCTTTTACCTTAAATTAACTCGGAATTGTCTATGAACTTCTTCTATATTTCTATGTTAGACTATGCTTTTTTGCCCTACGCAGATTGCGCATGTGCGGGGAAATACTACTTCCGATCGATTGTTCATAGCAACGGACCGCGTCGTAAAAAGGTCTATCATCAAACAAAAAAGTTCTCATTCAATATAAGTGATAGATTTTGTATCTGATATGTTTGAAAAATATTTGAGAAAAAATTATATTACAAAGTTAAGTTTAGACAAACAATTATATTCATAGAATAAAATATAAAACTGATTTTTTTTATCTTTAGAAATATTAAAATTGTTTATAATGTAAAATTAAATTCTTAATACGTATTTAGATCGTGTGTTTGTATATTTCTGTAAGTTAGTATATATTAAGCGCGTTTATTACCTTGTCTAATAAGACCAGATTATTCTAAAATATATACATTTTATTTCAGGCTTTCAGTGGATAGTGAAATCACGGTATGTTTTCCAGATCTGACAATGCCAGGCTCTGGTGATAATAACAACATCGAAGTTCATAAAAAGCGTAAGTATTTTTTTTTTATTTTAATCTTGCCCATTTCAACCCCGTTTTTTTATTGAAATTGTTCCAGGCAGACAATGGCAATATAAAGCTTCTAGCTTCTGCATCATGGTTAATATCACCAAAGAAGGTGAAAATTTTGACCCACCGCGCAGAGTTACATAAATTTCCAGCTATTTTGAGATAGTAGTTTTGTAAAAAAAATCTATCTGATGTTATATTGTTCCTCTGTTGGTAAGCAGGAACAAGGCCCCCAAGAAAGATCTCCCAAGAAATGTCAGAGGTCTTGGCCATTTTGAAGATTCTCGAAAAGATGTCAAAAGGGCAACAAAGAAGGAAATCCATTATATTTTATTTATGTATTCACAATTCTGAGGAAGGACATAAAATCCGCTTCATTAGTTATCTCGAGCTCTGCCATCAATGTTTCATATTGGCCATACATTAGACTCGAAGCCAAAGACTGATCCGACTCCGTCTTCGCTGCCTCTGATGTATCTTCACACTCGCCTTCAATGAATAATGTGGTCAATATAACATCATAACTGCCACGTGCTTCTGCAAGTGGCAGGCGTAACATAGCTAGTCTCAAATGGCCATGAGAGCCATCCATACGAATACCGTCCGATGATATCCGACCCACGATAAATGACCAAAATCATGTGTGAAAGTATGCTGAAAAACTAGGTAAACAAACAATAGCTACCTTTTTTAACAAATTATTCAGCGTTACGTCCTGCCAGTGAATACCAGCTGAAACGCTTTAAAATATGGTAAAAAAGATCAAGTAAATCCATTATTAAAACATTATTACACATATCTTTTCCCTTCTGTTGAAGAAAAACTATTTATTTCTGAGGCATGAAAAGTAGCTATAATTTCCTTCGTCGTAATCGATGCATACTCAAGCTTGAATATTACCTTCTTATCAAGGTTTAATGCAAATTAAAAATATGAAATTGTTCATTTGTGAAAATTAAATGCAATATTATTGCCCCACGTGTTTAGGGAATGTTAACATACATATAGCATAATTGTAGCTTAGATTACAACTAAATATTATAGTCATCATTTGATATATTAACTAAATCATCATATTTGTAGTCGCTTTTTGTTGTGTTCTTTAATTTGTTTGATATTCTCTATTAATTTTTAGCCAACTGGCTTTTATCTGAATCTCATTTTGTACAATGACAAACAAATATTGACATTGTAGCATTTCTTTCGCGCAATCTAGCTTTGTCCACTTTGAATACGTCACATATTCAGAATGAATCTCTTTGTATTTCAAAACAGGTATGTTGTTCATGACTATACCATAATTGAATATATCATCAATCCAAAAGAAAGGTGTAAGTGAGGCGGACTTGTATAAAGACGGTACAATGTCATTTAAAAACAAAACGTAATTTCCCTGACAATATGGATCATGATGCTTCATACCTCGTAACTGATGTTGCTCAATATAAAATCTGTGATTCTTTTGTCGTACAACTCTGTTTTCTTTCAATCGGCGGCAATGAACATGATACTGATCAACAGACATGTTAAGCATACTGTTCTGAAAAACGCGGAACATATTTAGCACAATATCATCGTCCGTTTTTATTATATATTTAGCATTTCTACAACGTTCTGTCAACCATTTGAAGCCCATTACAGTTTTGTGAGACAAGTTATGATAGGTATCTATGAAATCTCCTTGAAGTACATCTTTATTTAGGTCAAACTCCTTCTGAATATCATTCTGTACATAACTATTAATTGGTCTTCCTAAGAGAAACATCACTTTGGCTGTTCCATAACTTGAATAAAAACTAGAATTTCCCCATGTTTCTCTGATGGCATTTCTCCTTTTAAAATTGTCTGTTGCAGACAATACAATAATAAAAATTGTCAAATCTTTATATGACAAACACAGGTGTTTATTTTCAATACGATATGGTGCATTTATCGTCAGTGCATACTTCGGTGTTAGAGGGTTTATACGTTTCATTAATCCCGGCTTCAGCTTCACTTCAAAAATTTCATTAAGATTTAAAGTAACCAACTGTTTCTTTTTCTCTAAGAGTTGATTTTTCTCCGTAATTATACTTCCATTAACTTTGAATATTGTCCTAGGACCTGATGAAAAGGCAAGACGTTGTAAATTGTAATTAATCACAATTAAGGTTAAAAACAAAATATAACAAGAAAACAATGTGTATTTTATAGATATCATATTTTCCATTTCTATCGTTTCTATGTTATGATGTAATTATTGTATATTATATCACAAGTTGTAAATCCAAAATACTTTTATTAACGAAGAGGGTATAGAGTTTTTAAAACAGTCGCCTTAAAACTTGTCACAGTTCACTTATCATTAAAAAATGTAAGTGTAGCCCTCTTTGTAACTTCTGTATAACGTTGTGAAATCATCATGCGTCATAAATAAATACACTTTCCATTTAATCAAGATAGAAAAAGGGAGCTCACAAACTGCAACTATTTTCGCAGTCGATTTTCGAATCTGGCTGTTCTATTCCGCACATACTGTCGCTAAAAAAAAAAAGAAATTATATCAGAACAAAATCTGTTTCAACTTCTGTATAGAATAAATCTAAATATTGTCCGATATTTTGTAAACAATTGAAAAGTACTTAATTCCTCATATATGAATACATTTTTTTCCTACGCAAGGATAAACGTATGTTTTGTAATGTATAGATAATGGATATAGACCATGCTGGAGGATGCTTATCACTGAATAGTAGTAAATATGATGGTACGTTATCAAAGTTTCGCAAAAACTCCTCCAAATACTAGAAGACCATTTAATAGATATCCATACCAAATACGAAAGGCATCAGCCAATAAATAAAGGCTGTGTAAACAAAAGTATAAAAGTCTATTTTGAGCACCAATGCCCTTGACCTTAGCAAGTGACTCCAAGCTCCATTAAAACTTAGAATGCCACTAAAAGTATTTACGTAATAAATATGAAAAGACATCAGTCAATAAAGGCTGAATTAGCAAACATGTAGAAATCTATTTTTTAGCATTGATGATCTTGACATTAACCACGGTTACTAAAACCTCCCTCAACGGGTAGAGGAACATCCAAGGTATACAATTCATGATTGTCCTTAAAATCTATAAACTAGAGTAAGTGTATTACTTACAGGTAGCAGTAAATTTCCCGTTTTTGTTTTGTTCTTTTTCCGGTCCGGACGTTTGAATTTATATAACGGTTATGTTGTGCTACTTTAACAGTATTTACCTGTACATTTTTTATAATAACAACATAACAGCTGTTAATCAATGTAGCGCGTGATCGCTATTTAACTTTAAACAAAGGATTACACCTACTCCAAGCAAATGCAATCCAAGTCATTCAATGTACACAGACTGTAAATGCTATTGTTTACGCCGTGACTAGCAAATAACGTGAATAAGCATGATAGTTATTAATAATTGGCATTTTTTTCATGTTTTTTGTTGTTATGTGCATTATAGGTACTGTTGAAGTTTATTTATTTCGGAACCTTTGTAAACATAGTATGGATCAGTGCACTTCAAAAAGGGAAGTCATGTTTCTATGGATAGTATTGTAATACTTATTGGCCATACTTCTTACAGCGAGATGTTGTAGTGTAGAGGTAGCGCGCTGATCTATCAACTATGCAGTTGCGGGTTCAAATCCCAGCATTTCAATTATTTTTAAATTTTTTTTTCAATGTACAGGTACTTAATTGAGCTTTGTGCTACACGTGATAATGGCTTGCAACGAAAATCATTTATTTATTGCGAGCACGCGAGTTCTGGGCTGTTTGCTTGAGGTGTATGTTGTGGTGCTGTTAGGAGGACGTCATCACACTTTTTGTATTTGGTGAAAACCTTGCCATTCATTCTCCGTGGTATACCTATTGAGGTACTATCTTGGCACTAGAGACGAACACGCCAGTGCCAGCGCGACTTGAGTATCACAGAGGTTGAAGATATTGTTTGATTGATGAATTAAATTGAATTTTAGCTTATTATATATGCTATAGTACTGTCGTGAATAAAAAAAGCATGGACAGCTTTTATACATGAACAAAAAATGAAAATAGAAAATAAATAAATAAGAAAATAAATAAAAAATAAAATAGAAAAGGCCTAATAAAAGTATTACCCCCTTGTTGGATTTGAACAAACGATCTTCCGCATGCAAAACAATTACCATAACCACTACACTATGAGGCCAGATACTATTCATTTTCCTGTTTTCCTGGTAATGTGTTTTCGTACAAAGCTTTTTTCCTGCCACCCTATGTACTTTTAGATTTAAGATTTCCCTTTCTCGATCATATTTGAATCGACAGTATATTGAAATGTAAACATTGATTACAAGCTAAGACATGAGGTGGTTTAGTAAGGAGATGAACTTTACACAATTTTTTTCACATTTCTATAGCACCTGTGTTTATATGTTATTGTGTAAGAAGATTATAATAAATATTTTGAACGTTTATGTTTTTATTTGGTTGAAGCTAAAACTGTTTGCGGATTTGTTATAAGTGACATATTCGCGGCTATAAAGATTCGCGTAATCATGCCTACCGCGAAAAGCGTTAACTTAAAACGCGCGAAATCTTTTCTAGGAACACAGTATTCCTATAAATATGAAAGTCGTTGGTGATAAATAAAAGCTGTTACAAGATCTGTCAGCTTTAGTGGGCGACAGTGAAACATTCGAGCATAGCGCAGGAGACTATATGTTACCCAGTAGAAAACATTATTTTCAAGATTTTGTGATTATTGATCAATTAAATTGTTAGTTAAAAAACTGACATATTAGAAAACTGATGTCTATTAATTTGTCTTATATGTTTCTCTAGACAATCCTTAATTTGTAATAAAATATTTTTATATACAAACATAGGTATTGTATGCCACTTCAGTTTTTCAGGAAAAAATTCTAAAATATATTAGACATTACTCTTACATGATGGACACAAACAATATATTATTATTTACAGGTTGATAGAATATAGATTTCGTAAAATAACAACAACGGGGAACGGAAGAAGAGGCAGATTACAGACCAGGGTGTTCAGACAGAGTAAGTATTGGAATAAATAAGTCAAAAATGACTTCCTGCAAAGGGGAAGTAAACAAATAATAATGCAGGATAGGGAAAATATATGTAATCCATAGGTTGCAGGTTTGATCTTTGGACAAGGCGAAACACGTGGCGTGTGTAGTTGGAATGTGGATCATACTGTAATATTTATCAAATATTTATTAACGCATGAGTATACAAAAAGAGCAAAATAAATGGCCATATAATTTGTGTTATACCTTTATTACCATTTTAACTTCCTGAGAAAGAAATAACTTGATAGATTGACAGCAGTCATGTGTTAAGTGTATAAAAGAAACAAGTATCCGAAATTTGTCAGGAAGGTTGATTTGATGATTTCTAGGTCAAGTTTGAAGATGGGTCATCTTCGGTCAAAAACTAGGTCACAGGAGCTAAAAATAGAAAAAGCTCGTTAACACTCTAGTGGCTGCAGTTTTCATCCAAATATTCTGGAAAAGTGTCAGGAAGGTTGCTTTGATGATATCTAGGTCAAGTTCGAAGATGTGTCATGTCCGGTCAAAAACTAGGTCACAGGAGCTAAAAATAGAAAAAGCTTGTTAATACTGTAGTCGCTGCAGTTTTCATCCAAATATTCTGGAAATTAGTCAGGAAGGTTGTTTTGATGATTTCTAGGTCAAGTTTGAAGATTGTTCATGTCCGATCAAAAACTAGGTCACAGGAGCTAAAAATAGAAAACTCATTTTAACACTCTAGTGGCTGCAGTTTTGATCCAAATTACCTGGAAATTGGTCAGGAAGGTTGTTTTGATGATTTCTAGGTCAAGTTTGAATATGAGTCGTCTCCGGCTAAAAATTAGGTCACATTGCCCAAATATGGAAATACATTTTTAACACACTAGAGGTCACATGTTTGACTCAGTTGTCATCAAACTTGGCCAGGATGCTTGTCTAAGACATTGCTTGGATGCGGTTGATGGGTCAGGGGAGCGATCCAGGGCCATCATGGCCCTCTTGTTGTTATTGTATTGTCTGCAACAGAAAATTTTAAAGTGGGAAATGCTTTCAGAGAAACATGGGGAAATTCTAGTTTTTATTTAAGTTATGGAACAGCCAAAGGGATGTTTCTCGTAGGAAGACCAATTTATACTTATGTTCAGAATGATATTCAGAGTGTTTCTCGTAGGAAGACCAATTTATACTTATGTTCAGAATGATATTCAGAAGGAGTTTGACCTAATTAAAGATGTACTTCAAGGAGATTTCATAGATACCTAACATAACTTGTCTCACAAAACTGTAATTGGCTTCAAATGGTTGACAGAACGTTGTAGAAATGCTATATATATAATCAAAACAAGACGATGATATTATGCTGAATTTGTTCCGTGTTTTTCAGAACAGTATGCTTAACATGTCTGTTGATCAGTATTATGCTCATTGCCGCCGATTGAAAAAAAAAACAAAGAGTTGTACGACAAAAGAATCAGAAATTTTATATTGAGCCACAGCAGTTACGAGGTATGAAGCATCATGATATTGTCAGGGAAATTACGTTTTGTTTTCAATGACATTGTACCGTCTATGTACAATTCCGCTTCACAAACACCTTTCTTTTGGATTGATGATATATTCAATTATGGAATAGTCATGGACAACATACTTGTTTTGAAATACAAAGAGATTCATTCTGAATATGTGACGTATTCAAAGTGGACAAAGCTAGATTGCGTGAAAGAAATGCCACAATGTCACTATTTGTCATTGTACGAAATGAGATTCAGATAAAAGCCAGTTGGCTACAAATGAATAAGGAATATCAAACCAATTAAGGCACACAACAAATAGCAGCTACAAATATGATGATTTACTTAATATATCAAATGATGACTATAATATTTAGTTGTAATCTAAGCTACAATTATGCTTTATGTATGTAAACATTCCATAAACACATGGGGCAATAATATTGCATTCAGTTTTCACAAATGAACAATAAATATTTTATAGTTTGCATTAAACTTTGATAAGAAGGCAATATTCAAGTTGAGTATGCATCGATTACGACGAAAGAAATTATACCGTAGTTACTTTTCATGCATCAGAAATAAATAGTTTTTCTTCAACAGAAGGGCAGAGATATGTGTAATTATGTTAAAATTACGGATTAAGTTGATCTTTTTATCATATTTTAAAGCATTTCAGGTGGAATTCACTTGAAGGAAGTAACGCTGAATAATTTGTTAAAAAGGTAGCTATTGTTTGTTTACCTAGTTTTTGAGAATACTTTCACACATGATTTTGATCATTTATCGAGGGTCAACCTATCCTGGCTAAATAACCAGTGATAACAGCTTTTCTCTGTAAGTGATAACTACATTGTTCTTTGCCCGTATGAAATATAAATCTGCGATGAGAGACAATTGACCATTAGACTCAATATCCCGATATTAATTGTCACGGAAAAATTACTCGTTGCCGAAGATCGAACCAGCGGGCTTGAATACTAACTAATGCGATGCTCTCCTGATTAGCGAGCTGTAGCAAAATGGTCATGTCGGTAGTTCATCCTGATAAAAATGCCATTTCATCAACTACTGAAACCTTTTACACGTGGTGTTGTAAATAATTTGATAACAAATATACACCCACACAAACAAAGTTGTAATACAGAGGGCTATGTCATGTTACAGGCGGAGACCGTCTAAGATATAGGCTTTGGTGAGACACCGTTGATAGTTTAATAGATAGATAGATATAATTTATTGACGTATACATATTTGTACATAGTCATAATACAAAACACGTTATACATAAATCATAAGTCATGGTACGATCATATTGAAAACAAACATTGTTAAACAAAAGTATATATGGAGAATGTTCTTAAATCCATATTTAAACAATACAAAGTTGGCATTACTCTTATTAAAAAGTTGCAAAAATGACTTTCATATATTTAATATGTAGTGAATCAACGATTAAAATTACATGATAAATACCATACTGTCGCTTTTTAATGAGCAAAACTATCATGCGCATACTGGTAAAAATAGTCTTTAAATGGTAATATTAATAAGGTCATATCGACGCTTAGTAGCAAAGATGATGTATTTAGCAAGTCCAATTAATTCGGATTTATTTTTTGACTTCAAAAGCTGCAAAAATTTAAACATACTCGGTCTTCTGTAAAAATATGGCTTAAT